CTATAGACCACAGTCATCAGTGATGAACAAAAGGAAAACAGGAGTGAAGACGCTCTATAGACCACAGTCATCAGTGATGAACAAAAGGAAAACAGGAGTGAAAGTGAAAACGCTCTATAGACCACAGTCATCAATGATGAACAAAAGGAAAACAGGAGTGAAGACGCTCTATAGACCACAGTCATCAGTGATGAACAAAAGGAAAACAGGAGTGAAGACACTCTATAGGCCACAGTCATCAGGGATGAACAAAAGGAAAACAGGAGTGAAGACACTCTATAGACCACAGTCATCAGGGATGAACAAAAGGAAAACAGGAGTGAAGACACTCTATAGACCACAGTAATCAGGGATGAACAAAAGGAAAACAGGAGTGAAGACGCTCTATAGACCACAGTCATCAGTGATGAACAAAAGGAAAACAGGAGTGAAGGCGCTCTATAGACCACAGTCATCAGTGATGAACAAAAGGAAAACAGGAGTGAAGACGCTCTATAGACCACAGTCATCAGTGATGAACAAAAGGAAAACAGGAGTGAAGACGCTCTATAGACCACAGTCATCAGTGATGAACAAAAGGAAAACAGGAGTGAAGACACTCTATAGACCACAGTCATCAGTGATGAACAAAAGGAAAGCAGGAGTGAAGACACTCTATAGACCACAGTCATCAGTGATGAACAAAAGGAAAGCAGGAGTGAAGACACTCTATAGACCACAGTCATCAGTGATGAACAAAAGAAAAACAGGAGTGAAGACGCTCTATAGACCACAGTCATCAGTGATGAACAAAAGGAAAACAGGAGTGAAGACGCTCTATAGACCACAGTCATCAGTGATGAACAAAAGGAAAACAGGAGTGAAGACGCTCTATAGACCACAGTCATCAGTGATGAACAAAAGGAAAACAGGAGTGAAGACACTCTATAGACCACAGTCATCAGTGATGAACAAAAGGAAAACAGGAGTGAAGACGCTCTATAGGCCACAGTCATCAGTGATGAACAAAAGGAAAACAGGAGTGAAGGCGCTCTATAGACCACAGTCATCAGTGATGAACAAAAGGAAAACAGGAGTGAAGGCGCTCTATAGACCACAGTCATCAGTGATGAACAAAAGGAAAACAGGAGTGAAGGCACTCTATAGGCCACAGTCATCAGTGATGAACAAAAGGAAAACAAGAGTGAAGACACTCTATAGACCAAAGTCATCAGTGATGAACAAAAGGAAAACAGGAGTGAAGACGCTCTATAGACCACAGTCATCAGGGATGAACAAAAGGAAAACAGGAGTGAAGACGCTCTATAGACCACAGTCATCAGTGATGAACAAAAGGAAAACAGGAGTGAAGACGCTCTATAGGCCACAGTCATCAGTGATGAACAAAAGGAAAACAGGAGTGAAGACGCTCGATAGGCCACAGTCATCAGTGATGAACAAAAGGAAAACAGGAGTGAAGACGCTCTATAGACCACAGTCATCAGTGATGAACAAAAGGAAAACAGGAGTGAAGACACTCTATAGACCACAGTCATCAGTGATGAACAAAAGGAAAACAGGAGTGAAGGCGCTCTATAGACCACCGTCATCAGTGACGAACAAAAGGAAAACAGGAGTGAAGACACTCTATAGACCACAGTCATCAGTGATGAACAAAAGGAAAACAGGAGAGAAGGCGCTCTATAGACCACAGTCATCAGTGATGAACAAAAGGAAAACAGGAGTGAAGACGCTCTATAGGCCACAGTCATCAGTGATGAACAAAAGGAAAACAGGAGTGAAAGTGAAAACGCTCTATAGACCACAGTCATCAATGATGAACAAAAGGAAAACAGGAGTGAAGACGCTCTATAGACCACAGTCATCAGTGATGAACAAAAGGAAAACAGGAGTGAAGACACTCTATAGACCACAGTCATCAGTGATGAACAAAAGGAAAACAGGAGTGAAAGTGAAAACGCTCTATAGACCACAGTCATCAGTGATGAACAAAAGGAAATCAGGAGTGAAGACGCTCTATAGACCACAGTCATCAGTGATGAACTAAAGGAAAACAGGAGTGAAGACGCTCTATAGGCCACAGTCATCAGTGATGAACAAAAGGAAAACAGGAGTGAAGACGCTCTATAGACCACAGTCATCAGTGATGAACAAAAGGAAAACAGGAGTGAAGGCGCTCTATAGACCACAGTCATCAGTGATGAACAAAAGGAAAACAGGAGTGAAGACGCTCTATAGACCACAGTCATCAGTGATGAACAAAAGGAAAACAGGAGTGAAGACACTCTATAGGCCACAGTCATCAGTGACGAACAAAAGGAAAACAGGAGTGAAGGCGCTCTATAGACCACAGTCATCAGTGATGAACAAAAGGAAAACAGGAGTGAAGACGCTCTATAGACCACAGTCATCAGTGATGAACAAAAGGAAAACAGGAGTGAAGACACTCTATAGACCACAGTCATCAGTGATGAACAAAAGGAAAACAGGAGTGAAGACACTCTATAGACCACAGTCATCAGTGATGAACAAAAGAAAAACAGGAGTGAAGACGCTCTATAGACCACAGTCATCAGTGATGAACAAAAGGAAAACAGGAGTGAAGACGCTCTAAGAAAAGCTTTTGCTCTAGTTCTCAAACATCAAGAGGCGGAATAATTTTTTTTAAATCATTATTTTGACTTCTTACTGTATGTCATAATTATGAGATTTAAAAAGTCAAAATTGTGAGAGAAAGAGTAGATATTGACCTTTTGTCTTAATTTCAACTTGTCATGATTATGAATTACGAACTTTTATATCAAGGCAAGGCAAGGCAAGTTTATTTATATAGCACATTTCATACACTATGGCAATTCAAAGTGCTTTACAGAAAGGAATTAAAATAACCACAAAATTAAAGCAAGGAAAATTAAAACAGTTATAAAAGAAATTAAAATAGATGTATGATACAGTTAAAAAATGTATTAAAAGAGTAAAAAGAAGATCTCGCAATTGTCATAAAGTGAAATTAGTTTGTTGAAGCACTAAAACTAACTTTAACTTTGGTAACTAGCTGAAATAAAATATGTTTAAGTTTATTTTAATATTTTGTTTTATTTGAGTTAATGTTTATTTTATTTAAAGCAACAAAAATAAATATTTTTTAATGGTAATGGTTTTAGTTTCAGTTAAATTTAATACCCCTGGCATGCACAGGTACCAGTATCAAGGTTGGTAACGACTAGAGAAAACTAGACTAACTATAACAGTTAGAGTTGAGTAAAGGTTGTTTGATTCAGGCGTGTGTGTTCTGCAGGCAATGGATGCGAGTTCTTTCGTTACTGTGGGATGATAATTCCTGGTTATTCTTTTAAATAACAGAGGAGGTTCTTTAACTAAACGAGTTACAGAAGAGACGCAGCTGAGGTTATGCCGAAGGACGCGAGTTCGAAGCAAATCGGGTTAAAGTTTCATTTGAAGTCCTGAGCCATAAAGCCACTCTGAATTCATCACAAATGCAGCAGTTCGGCTGGTGAAAATTCATAAGGCTTTTTATTAGATCTGTAAGTCTATGAGATTTGATTTAATACCTTTTATTTGATCTGGCTGCGATAAATTCAAGGAGTCATGACACATGAGTAGGGCGATCACTCTGCCCTCCGTTTCCTCCAAACTTTTCCCAGAAATGTCAAGGATTTCATCTTCCCCTAGTGGCGCATAATGCCTTTTAAAAAGTCACAGAATTCATAATACTGACCTTGATTTTTGCACATCTTTCAGTCATTTTAATTTAAAGAATGGCGGTTGTTAACTTGATGAATAAATGAAAGCAGTCTTTTCCATTCAGAGGAAAAATAAATAATTTCAACTATAAGCAGCCAATGTTGCCAGATAGATTCAAGGTGTTTAATGCAAAGAGTTAAACTTAAAAAATCTTGTTAAAACTAACGACCATGTTGCACACGCTGTTTTATAGTTTTTTATATTCACTGAAACAAACAATTGATGGAATCAAAACAACTGATTCACAGAAATGATTCAAACATCCGAAATCTTTAAGCATTTTAAATTCAGAGACGTTAATATATATAAAAAGTTTATACTCACAAGTCACGGGTGTGAAAGTGCCATTAAAATCTTTGCTTTTGCGAATATTGCAAATATGCACTGTATCATTTTATGTAGACTGTAAGAATAATTTTAAGTTGTAATTAAAATTATTGGAAAATGTTTAGCAAGAAAATACTGTAATTGAAAATTTCACATTTAATTCAATGTGTTAGTTGCCATTTCTTGTAAAAATCAGTGTATTCTTTTCTATTCATTTGTTTTTAATACATTTTATTTTAATCAATTTTTATTTCTTACTTTTTATTGTTATTTTTATTTTTATGGATCTTTTATGATTATTTTTAAGATACTTTTTCTGTAAAGCACTTTGAATTATCATTTATTTATTTGTATTACATTTTTATATTAATATTTAATCAAGTTTTTTTCTTACTTTTTGTTGTTTCTTTTATTTCTTATGATTATTTGAAATAATTTTTTATTTAAAGCACTTGTATGTAATTTATTTTTAATAATTTTAATTTTTAATCAATCTTCATTTCTTACTTTTCATTTCTTATGCAACTTTTATGATTATTTTTAAATACTATTTTATCCAAAACTCTTTGAATTATCTTTTCTTTTTTATTAGTTTTTAATACATTTTATAAAAATGTACTTTTTATTTCTTATGCATCCTTTATGATTATTTTTTACAATTTGATGCATTTATTTGTTCAAAATAAATTTTCTTTTTAAAATCCTTTTTATGTAAAGCTCTTTGAATTACCACTGCGTTTGAAATGTGCTATATAAATACGCTTGCCTTGGCAAATATTGAATATCTGGTAAATATTTGATATCTGGGCCCCATCATGGTAAACGTGTTTGAGTGGCGGCTTCAAGCGAGCAGCGTTTGGATCATGCTGAAGTCTTGACTCCTCTGCTGATCTGCTGTGTTTGTGCAGATATCGACGAGTGTGTGGAGGGGAGGCACTACTGCCGCGAGAACACACAGTGTGTGAACACCGCCGGCTCCTTCATGTGCATCTGCCTCACCGGATTCATCCGTATCGATGATTACTCCTGTACAGGTGAGAAACTCAAATCAATCTCGGCCTTCACATGTTCATCCTCAATGTCATTCACCTTTGATACAGCGGCTGGTTAAACGCCTCAGGATCCCAGAAACATGTAATCACACTATCCACACGAGACGATGCCAACCAATCACAACGAAGGATTTTGTTTCGTCTCATTACAAACACACAAACGGGGAGGAAGCACTTCAGCCAAAATGCTGCAACAAAGGCCTAATCAATTTCAATCATGGTATTTGTGCTTTTGCAGGCTTCTAATTCTATTCATTTACCTGTTCTATTAGATACATAAAATTGTCACAGCACTGAGACTCGACCAATCAGGGAGTCAAGGCAAACTAACCAATCACAGTGCAAAACAAAGGTTTAAGTTACAGTGCAAAATGCATCATTTGACTTAACATTCACAGATACACTGAAAAAAGTAGTTTCAATGACTTAAATAGTTGAATTTTTATATAAATAATTTTTTAATGAGAATTAGTTTCATTGTTTAAACCAATGTTAAAAAAATATTTTAATGACTTAAATAGTTGAATTATATATATATATATATAGTTATTGTTTATATATAGTTACATATATTCATGTTTATTTAAATGTTTATTAAAAGTACTTATTTAATATTTTAATTATTTAAATATATGTATATATACTATTTTTATAAGAATTAATTACTTTATTTATTCAGTGAAACGTTTAAATGTTTTTTTTTATGTTGTATTTTTTATATTGTATGAACTTGTTATATAGTTATATGTTAAATAGATAAATATATACTGTAAACATTTTATTATTCAGTGAAAATAAAGGTAAAATGAATTTTTTTAATAGTTTAATTATTCATTGCCGTGTCACTGCACATACAGTAAAAGTTCTCTATAGACTCTAAATGCAGGCTGTCAATCAAATATAAATCAATATAAATGTATATGAGTATTTACTTTGCAGTATTATTTCTAGTAGCTCCTCGCAGGTTGTCACAGGTATCTTGCCAAAAGAATACGGCATGATATGCTGACATAGAGATTGTGCCCTGCTGGTGTTTTTGCTGCTGTCACTTCATATTTCCAGTTTCAATATGGACTATCATCGTTGTAATTATTTTATAGTGTTTACTGTTTCTCTTCCACTAATTGCCCAGCAGTTACAGAAAGTGTGTGCTTTTAGACGTCGTATATCATTTCGGTTTATGGATTATTGGGACTTCAGCACTTCCTGTTTCATTATAATAAGACAAACTAATACAAAGCCCAGCCAATTAGGTTAATTCAAGCACAGCGTCTCTCAGCTGTACATTAAAAAATCTGCAGTACGATAAAGTCCAGGAGGCGTTTGGAGGCTTTGTGCACACAGAAAAATGTCTTTATTATGATAGTCTAGATTCATCTTTGTGCAACATGAAGTGCTCCATGTCCTTCAAGGTTTTTAAACAGTCTCTGAAAATAAAGACAGCATTTATAGTGCCGCACGCACTGTATTTCTCTCCTCTGTGGAGTTATTGATCGACTGCGGTAGAGAGCGTCCCAAAGCACCTCTCTGTATTCTCACCAAAACTGATAAACACTTTCAGCGTTTAATTCCTTGCATGCCCCCCAGAGATGAATATGAGAGTACAGATGGATTACATTCAATTGCACGGATCGATATTAAAATGTCTGTGAGCTACAAGAGCCCGACATTCCCAGAATCCATCAGTTGCTGTGATTAAGTTGACTCCCTGCTGGAATGATTCTGTGGTCACAGTCAAGCGTTTGTCAGCCTCACGTCGACTTACTGTAATCACAGTCTGTGTGTGCGCAGAGATACGAGACCCCTCGACGCTGTTGCTTATGAAAGGAAAATGAGTTATAAGTCCATAAAGCGCCTTATAGAAGCACACTGAGAATACATGCTCTTAATTGCAGGAAGAAGCTTACCCAGTCAGAGAGCAGAGACACATGCTTGTGCTTTCCAAATGTCAGGACTTCTGTTTGCATGAAAAATTTTCCGTGGGGAGTGTTGGGAAATATATTTTATTTTTTATTGCAGGAATACATACAGAAATTTTACAAAATACACATGTCAACAAATCTTTTACCCTTTCTCTCGTCCCCCCACTCTCCTCCCTGTTTGGAAAAAATTGTGACCGCCACACTAGCAATTAGAGTTGCTGACCCTAACAATGACATAGCGACACGTTAACACCCTAGGAACCACCCAGACCACCCTATCAATGATATAGCGACACGTTAACACCCTAGCAACCACCCAGACCACCCTATCAATGACATAGCAACACGTTAACACCCTAGCAACCACCCAGACCACCTTATCAATGACATAGCAACACGTTAACACCCTAGCAACCACCCAGACCACCCTATCAATGACATAGCAGCACGTTAACACCCTAGCAACCACCCAGACCACCCTATCAATGACATAGCAACACGTTAACACCCTAGCAACCACCCAGACCACCCTATCAATGACATAGCGACACGTTAACACCCTAGCAACCACCCAGACCACCCTATCAATGACATAGTGACACGTTAACACCCTAGCAACCACCCAGACCACCCTATCAATGATATAGCGACACGTTAACACCCTAGCAACCACCCAGACCACCCTATCAATGACATAGCAACACGTTAACACCCTAGCAACCACCCAGACCACCCTATCAATGACATAGCAACACGTTAACACCCTAGCAACCACCCAGACCACCCTATCAATGATATAGCAACACATTAACACCCTAGCAACCACCCAGACCACCCTATCAATGATATTGCAACACGTTAACACCCTAGAAACCACCCAGACCACCCTAGCAATGATATAGCAACATGCTTACAAGCACTTAAAGCTGGTGTGTTTTTATTTCTGCACCTTTAGCAGCACTAAACAGAAGCGGCAGCCTGCTAGAGCATTGTGCCAAGAATTGAATCAAGGTCGTAGGGAATGTGTGGACAAATGTACCTTGAATGCACAATTAAATGTTTTGGATAAAAGCATGTACCAAATGCATCATAAATAATGACCCCGTCTGACACTGGTCAGACAAACTGATATTGCTGTCCCAAAAAACACACCATTGTTGAAATGGCTGCATCAGGACGCTCAGGCAAACAGATTGCATGTAAATAAAATACTTTTTTCCCAGTTTTGTGTTGCCAGGGTGTTTCATTGTGTAAAAAGCTGTTTTGGAAGATATTCTGGGAATATTCGCTCATCTGTATTGGTTTCTCTATCCTTGCAGATTCTATTGTTTCAAAGCAAACTGGTGCCAGAATCCGCTACACTCTGCCAAGTTATATGTTAACACCATCCACGATAACACTGCTTCCAACTAAAGTCCTTAACTAGTTTAATTGATAACACCGCTTCCAACCAAAGATTTTAACTAGTTTAACCGATAACACCGCTTCTAACCAAAGTTCTTAACTAGTTTTATTGATAACACCGCTTCCAACCAGTTTAACCGATAAACCAGCTTCCAACAAAAGATCTTAACTAGTTTAACCGATAACACCACTTCCAACTAGTTTAATCGATAACACAGCTTCCAACCAAAGTTCTTAACTAGTTTAACCGATAACACCGCTTCCAACTAGTTTAACCGATAACACAGCTTCCAACCAAAGTTCTTAACTAGTTTAATTGATAACACCGCTTCCAACCAGTTTAACCGATAAACCAGCTTCCAACAAAAGATCTTAACTAGTTTAACCGATAACACCGCTTCCAACTAGTTTAACCGATAACACAGCTTCCAACCAAAGTTCTTATCTAGTTTAACCGATAACACCGCATCCAACCAGTTTTACCGATAAACCGGCTTCCAACAAAAGATCTTAACTAGGTTAACCGATAATACCGCTTCCAACCAAAGATCTTAACTAGTTTAACCGATAACACAGCTTCCAACCAGTTTAACCGATAACACCGCTTCCAACCAAAGTTCTTTACTAGTTTAACCGATAACACTGCTTCCCACCAAAGTTCTTAACTAGTTTAACCGATAACACTGCTTCCCACCAAAGTTCTTAACTAGTTTAACCGATGACACAGCTTCCTCCCAGTTTAACCAATAACATTGCTTCCAACCAAAGTTCTTAACTAGTTTTTCCAATAACACCGCTTCCAACCAGTTTTACCGATAACAAAGCTTCCAACCAAAGATCTTAACTAGTTTAACCGATAACACTGCTTCCAACCAAAATTCTTAACTAGTTTAACTGACAACACCGCTTCCAACCAGTTTAACCGATAACACCGCTTCCAACTAAAGTTCTTAACTAGTTTAACCGATAACACCGCTTCCCACCAAAGTTCTTAACTAGTTTAACCGATAACACTGCTTCCAACCAAAGTTCTTAACTAGTTTAACCGATAACACCGCTTCCTCCCAGTTTAACCAAGAACACTGCTTCCAACCAAAGTTCTTAACTAGTTTAACCGATAACACCGCTTCCAACCAGTTTAACCGATAACACCGCTTCCAACTAAAGTTCTTAAAGACCCACTCCGATGAAAATAATGTTTTTCTAGGTGTTAACATGTTCTTGTGGCATTTTTCTGATGTTAGAGGACATATCTTGAGAAAAATCAGCTCAAAGTTGTATTTCTGAGTATTTCTACATTCAAATGGCTGTGAATCAGTAGCAGACGCTAAAATGCCGGCTAAAATCGACTGGAGTTGTGACGTAGTAACTCCACTGGGCGTCTCCACACGCGACGTCTTGGAGTGAAATAATGATCGGTGATCGGTGATAACTTTGATTAACTTCGGATAATAATAATTAACGTGTATATAATACTGTTGCCCCACCGGTATTGGGGATGTAAGCTAGCGGGAGAGACAGAGCTCTCAGCAACGGGCAGGGGGAGGGTCGTCTCCGTGCCAATGGCTCCGCCCACAACGCAGAGGCGAATTGCTAATGAGCTACTGCCGCTCTGCTGAAGCGAAGTCCCAGAAAACGGCACAGGTTTTGTGATTT